CCGGATGCATCTAGACAAGTATATCTCCCCTTTTAGAGGTTCTATTGAGCAAGTTACAAGAGAAACACATGTTTGGTCCCAAACTCTCAATACCGATATAAGTTTTAGGATTTTGATTATTTGTTTGTGATGTCCGAGTTTGGCTGGGCTCCTAACACTCTCAAGTCTTTGGACTTCATGAATGAAAACATTGTAGAGTATTTTATCTCTAATTTATGCTGGCCCAAAGCTTGGTGGTTCAAAAATTTCAATCAATTTATTTTAGTTTAAATCCCTAGAATGTCTAACGATAAAAAAAAGGTCCCTAGAAATTGCAAGAGTGTGGGTAGCCAAAGGGTGGGCACGGTTCGGTACAGCCTGATTTCACCCTCAAATCAGAATCGGAATTCAAAAATATCAACGGTTTAGTTCGGTGTGGTTCCGTTTAAAATTATTGAAAAAAATCGTATGTTTCGGTTTACGACGGTTCTGGTTTGGTTCATGCCGGTTCACAGTTCCAAATAATAAATCATTTGAATCTTGGCAATATATATTTAGAGCACATAAAAAAGTCAAGGCAATTTTATGGTAAAGGATAGTAATTGGATTACACAACGAAGAACATGCATGACCAATCATAAAGAATGATGAACTACAATAGAAGATTTAAAATTTTATGGCACCAAAACCTTACAAAGTTAATGAATATTATTCATATCAACAATTCACAAAACACAGACACATAACTAACAATTTTAGCTTACCAAACTCATTATGGTTATTAACTTAACAATTTAGAAACGAAAAACGCACTCTTATTAAGAAACATAATCAAACGGTTGAAAATCCAAATTTTCAAAACCCAATTAATTAATTTTATTCAAGTTTGGTTTGGTTTTAAGGGTTCCGCCAACATGAAAACCAAAACCAAAACTAGAACCGGTTCGGTCCGATTCTTAAACCTATATTGACTTTTTTTGTCAACATAATTTTTTACAATTTACTTTATTGCAGTTTGATTCGATTTTACGATTCCACGATTTTTATGCCCCCTTAGCCAATTAGCCCAGTTCAAAAGAACAAAATTACAAGAGCCAATTAGCCCAGTTCAAAAGAACAAAATTACAAGAAAGACGAAAGATCCTATGGGAGAGCATCAAAGCACTATTCCGTGCTTAACATGCTTAATTAAAACAAAAGAAAATCAACCTCATTACTAATAATTTTTTCTTAAATTTAGCTCGTTCATGCTCATACATGTATGTGTAGTAAATGGCAGTTAAAAAAGTCAATGAAATTCTCTCAAAATTAGAATTTTCAAATGCTCTCTATCACCTCATGTATTTTTGAACAATATTTTATAATTTTAACCTACTTTTAAAATACTATCTACTTCCCTACAAATAACTTTTAATTTCTATATGTCACGTTTTTTGTTTGATCGATTCATTTTATACTACAAGTTCCACACATTTGAAACTTCTCCTTGGAGATATCTGTATACATATTAAATAAAGTTAAGCCACTCTTTTGAAAATTCTTATTTCTGCCTTGCTCACTGACCGGATTATTCTCATATACAAAATTCATCGATTAAACAATTTTTCATATTTGATAATAAATAAATGAACTTGAAAAAAATGGAAAAGACGACAATTATAGGTTTCAACGTGGACTTGATTGGCATAATTAAGCAGTCCCAATGTAGGACGACACTCACAGTCATGCATGGTAATCAAAACACAATTTGGGACAGACGTTGATTAAGGAAGCAGTGAGCGAAGCAAGCTCACAGTACGTGACAAACAAAACCCTAGGCCCCCATCATCTTATTCAGGCACTGATGTTACGTGCAACTTGCTGCTTAGGCCATCTACAGTGAGCTATTAATATATTAAATTTATACAAGAATTACACTATAGTAAGAAAGAAAATTTGAGTGTTATATCAATATTTTGAACTCATGAATTCAATATATTAAGCTCAGGAGTGCGAACACCAATGTAATTGTAGGTTATAAGTATCAAATTCAAGTTATCTTATTTTTTATATATAGTTATCACAATCATTCAAAAGTATTGTGAAAACATTAGAGTTATTTATTTCTTAATTATTATTATTATGGATGAAGTTGCTTTCCTGCAGTTAATGTTGACGTCACAAAGTTATAAGATAATAGCCAAATTGGCATCATTTAAAAAAGAATAGCCCTCCTTGTCGCCAATCACATCTGCAATTCATTTTTGTCGGCCCCATGTTCTCCATTTCTCAAAATTCAGCTAGAATCTTATGATCGGTCATTAATAATTTTTAACAGTATTATTTATACTAAGAGGGTGGTGATAATATAGTTTAAATTTGCTTTTATTAATCTGTATGCATCGAAATTTCTATGAAATAAATGTTCACCAACGTATTAAAATTTCGCTATGCTAGGGCATACGTGGCATGCACCATGAGTTTCATAAAATTTGCTACATGTAAGGGGTGTGTGAGGATGTTAAGGTAAAAGAGTCCAGTGGCGGATCCATAAAATATTATTAGGGAGTCAGTAAGAATAGCACACGCAGCGGGCAAATTTTTTAACAGAAATAGCATGCATATCGTTATTTCATCGAGTCTTGGTAGGCCTGAAGTCATTTGCAAAGGCATAATGCACAACTGTTAATGCCTCATTTACGTGGGTAACTAACATGTTCCAAGGCTACTCCTATATGAATGCTTAACAAAGGAACACACTTATCTTGAACACACTAACAAATTGATTGATATCATTGCATCCCATTAGTATATTTGTCCAAGAATGATGATGCTTTGTTCATTCTCTAAGATTGCCATTTCATTTACCTTGCATTTTTTGATAGTTTTTTACTTGGTTTTTTTTTTCTTTTTTTTTCCAACAATTGTAATCACAACCAACAAACAAGCGACATGTAAATTATATTAGTACTAGACTGTAGCATCTCTCTAACGCATTTTATCAGGCAGTTGGAGGGCATATATGAAGGACAACTCCAACCTTCAAAAGGGCAACACCCAAGTCATCTATGGAGATTCATCGGAGTACAGAGGGTCAGTTGACTCCCCTTGCTTCTAAGTCGGTCCGCCCCTAAAAGAGTCCCACAATGGTGAATAGAGAAACTTTGCAAGGGCGCTACTCCCCATGTAGCCAATTGATTTTAGAATAATGCTAGGGAGATCAAATTATTTTTAAGTCAAATTTGCAAATCAAATGATGTATCACTACTGAAAAATAAACATGTTAATCAATATTAAGTAATAATCCAATAATCAATGTCCAAATCATTAGATTTACAAAAAAAAAATTTAAAAATTTGGTCCCTAATATTACCCTTTTCCTTAATTTTACGGTTAAACTTCAATTTTCTTCGAACACAAAAGAGTTAAAAAGTAAGAACATATATATCGTAGCATCAAAATGTGCTGCTTTGTATAATTACATGTAGCAGATGGAACAAGGACACCGCTTAAGACAAGGGACACAAGGGCCACCTCATCAGTTAATTTGAACTTTAAAACCAAGTTCAATGTATACCAATCGCACTCCAACCCAATATGCCCTCTTTTGGCAACTTGATGGGCCAACTTCCTAAATCCTAACCACAGAAACCAACGTAAACTGGCAGTGTTTGTTTAATCTAAATAATCTTAATTAAACCACGTTCCTAATTTTATTAACCATAAAAACAAAAAACGAAACCAACAAAAAAACCAATTTAATTGATTGTTATGCGACTCAATCGTTACAAAAGGGTAGTGTGATCCGTTAATAATTTATTCAAACATATTGGAATCTTGAAGTCATAGATGGCTTCTCAACACCCAACGTACCTAATTTAAAAACGTCCAATAAAGCACATGGTGATTTGGAGATGTACATGATGAATAGTATTAAAACATATATAATCTTCAAATCTACTCAAACCTTATTTTGTTTTTTTCTTTGGGGCGGTTGCAAGATTGCTCTAACGTACCGCCATTGACATGGCCCTAATTCTCTATACAATAAGTGTCTCACTCTTTAAGAACGAGATACGGAAGATAGGTTAATTATTTTCTTGGTTACCCTAATTATTGTTTAAACATGATTTTTTTTTTAACAAATGACATTATCTACATTAAGAGAGTGAGAAAGTGGGCTAAACCTTACAATGAGATAACAATAATGTGGTTTAAATTCGCCGTTTGGCGAGAATCAAGCCTAAGACCTCTCACTTACAAGTGAAGATGAATACCGTCAGACTGTAGTACGAAGTGGCTAAACGTGATATTTTTAAATGGGTGTCATGGGTTCCGTGTTTGAAACTCACTTATCTCCTAAATAATTGTAATAGTTTCGAATTATCTCAATGTCCTTCTTAATAATAATAATTTTTTTTTAAAAAAAAAATATTAATCTTCACTTACAAGTGGAAGATTTTATGTTCAACATTCTTGGATGGTGAGTTCGAAACTTAATTATTATGACATACTCATTGTGACGTAATCCAAACGATTTATCTCTACATATAAATATGTTGTATAAAAAGCTATTGATTTACATATCCTTTAAACGTGGAATGAAACCTTGGGTTAATTTCCCCCTTTCCATTGATAGGAAACAAGACATTTCTAAAAATAATGAGAATTATTGCAAAGTGATGGAGTAGCTAGCTAGAAGGTGAGCCAAAGGCCACTTGGTGAGCATTGATTAGTGGTTGGCTGCTTTGGCTTTACATTATCTTCAGATTCATCTGAATATTTCCTAAAATTTTAATTTGATTACTTTTAAAATGATGAGGTGGCTTGCCTTTTAATCACATGTGCATATATCATCTCAACAACAAGTAGCACTAAAAAATTGGACACCCAATTGGACCCCACATCCTCTCTATCCTTCCACCTTCGTACTACTAACTCCCTCCACCCTCTCCCTCCGGCTGCATGGCCCGCACGTGCTTTTTCACTCCCACTTACATTAAAAAATGAAGCCCTTTATATATAAAGGGAAACGGGTTGTTTCATTTCATTTCCATTTCGATACAACTCTCCACTCCGCACTCCACCAACACAACCACCGCAAATCCAAATGGCTCTCATCCGTGAACGCCGCCAGCTCAACCTCCGCCTCCCCTTGCCCGACCTCTCTGAGCGCCGCCCTCGTTTCTCTCTTCCCCTCCCTCCCACCGCTCCCACCACCGCCGTCACCACCAACACCTCCTGCTCCGCTATCTCAGCCGCAGACCTCGAGAGACTCGAAGTCCTCGGCCACGGAAACGGCGGTACCGTCTACAAGGTCCGCCACAAGCGGACTTCAGCCATTTACGCTTACAAACTCGTCCAAGGTGACTCCGACCCCACCGTCCGCCGTCAGCTCTTCCGCGAGATGGAAATCCTCCGCCGCACAGACTCTCCGTACGTCGTCCACTGCCACGCAATCTTCGAGCAGCCCTCCGGCGACATCGGGATTCTCATGGAGTACATGGACTATGGCACCCTCGAGACCTTGCTTAAATCCAACGGCACCTTCTCCGAACCAAAACTTGCCCACGTGGCGCGGCAAGTTCTTAACGGCCTCAACTACCTCCACACCCACAAAATCATCCACCGCGACATCAAACCAACAAATCTTCTAGTAAACAGAAACATGGAAGTAAAAATCGCCGACTTCGGCGTGAGCAAGATCATGTGCCGAACGTTGGACGCCTGCAACTCATACGTCGGAACTTGCGCTTACATGAGCCCGGAAAGATTCGACCCGGATACCTACGGCGGCAATTACAACGGCTACGCCAGTGACATATGGAGTTTGGGGCTGACCCTGATGGAGCTCTACATGGGTCACTTCCCGTTCTTGCCTCCGGGTCAGAGACCCGACTGGGCCACCCTCATGTGTGCCATATGTTTTGGAGAGCCCCCCACCTTGCCGGAGGGGGTGTCCGAGGAGTTTCGGAGCTTCATGGAGTGTTGCTTGCAGAAGGAGTCTGGCAAGAGGTGGTCCGCCGGTCAGCTTCTGACCCACCCCTTCGTCTGTAAAGATAGGTGAGGATGTGAATTCAAGAATCCGTCGCCGGGAAGTTTATAAATCTTCCAAGGGCTACAAGGACGAGTCGGGCAATTAACTTGGTTTATTCTCTTGCTCATCAAATCTTCCCGTGTCGAATATCCGTGCGAGTGGAGTCGGGTCGCCGGGTTTGGCATAAGCCTTTTCGGACACTAGTTACTGTACGTTTTATGAGCTTTTGTATATACTGGCCGGATTCGGATACTTTGTGGATTATGATGTTAATTAAATTATGATTAAGAGAATCATCATATGAATATCAAATTTCCTTTGATTCTATTTCATTGTGGTTCTTAAACATCACGAGATTAATTAAACTTTCCGAGTGACTAAAAGTCAGAATTCAACACTTGAAGTTGACATCGAGGGAACGAACTAGGAAGTGTAAGAAAGGACCACGACGATTAATAATCTCTCTAAACTATGAATAGTTTGATGTATCAGTCAATTAAGTAGAGGCTGTACGTAATTGATCAACCCTACTTCCTAGCTGGTGTACAAAGACTAGTCAATTTTTAGGAGGAAAATCAATACTTTCTATGGGTGAATTAGCTTTGTACGTAATAGAAATCCAAACACTTACGGTAGGAAGAAAATCAATAATGGTATACTTTTTAGGCTTCTTAGTCAAAATGGTTTTTAAAATTGGCATAACTTTTCATTTTGATTCCTAACAATAAAAATCGATCAAAGTGGTTCATGAGTTTGTCTACTGTAAATCATTTGGTCCTTCAGTGAAAAGTCTGTCAATATCCTCGTTAAGTGGAGGGCTTGATTTGACAAAAATACCCTTAAAAAGGTGGTCACGTGTTCGTTCATGTGACAATTTAACGAGGATATTGACAAATTTTTCACGAAAGTACCAAAATGATTTATAGTGGACATACTCAGGACCAATTATATCGATTTTCATTGTCAATTAATGACCAAAGTGAGACCTTATGTTAATCTCATAGACCACTCTAGCTAAAAAGTCATCCTCTACTTTCTATGTATATTGAAACTATGTTGAGTTTCGACTTTTTGTGTGCTTAGCATAATATTAAAAATCCAAACACTTAGACATTAGGGTTACATACTAATCGGGTGACATACTAATTACTAAAATTATGTCGATTTTCGAATTTTTTGTACGTTTACAAATATATAGTTACCGTCATGAATTAGATTTATGATAGGGTGAGAGTTAACAATAGCATTTGATCAATTTAGTTTCAATTTCCTCGGGAGGGGGGGGGGGTGGGGTGGGGAATGTTTTAATTTCCTGTAAATAACAAAACTATAGCTTGGATATTCTTTTTTGTCCAATTAACCAAGATCAAGTCTTCTCCTAAAACAAAGATTATGATCAGATAGCTAGGGTAAACCTTGCAAGCTGAAGTAAAGAAATCATGATTAGAAGAAAAATGATGCAGTGACTCCACTTATTCACAAATCCATGTCCAACGTGCATAATTAATTATTGTTTTGTTTAAATTATAAAACGGTACAATCATCGTAGAATTATATTTTTGGTTATCCAATCTTCACGAATATCTTCTAAAGTTGGTTTCTTGCTAGCCTCCACTGGCAAGTGACAAATTTTCAAGTGTTGCAATAAATAAAAATAGGAATGTCCCATTCATGAGCCAAGCAGATATGTCATCATATGTAAAGATTCGAAGCAATTTGCTTCGTTTTTGTTGAAACAATCCTGTCCATTTAAGTCTTTTTGGGTGGAATTACTGTGCATATAAAGGAAACTCTTGTTAGAGAGTTTTCTGATTAGTGCAACGTTTTTATATCAAGCAAGATAAATGCAATTAATCTTATAGTTTCGTGAAAGCGATTTTACAGATAAGTGATGACGTAGTCTTGATGATCTATACAAGTTTTTCTCTCGGAGTCATATATGATTGGCTGCCAAGTCTGGTGATAACAAATTTGGTGCAAACGAAGGCTATCATGGCACGAAAGTTGGGTGCTTCTTGACAGCTTCGATCGATCCTGAATAATATAGAACATGATGAGTCAGCAAATAGTTCCTCCATGAGAGAGTTCAGGAAAAGGTAAATAAATATGTCAATATCAAAGCTTGGCCAATTATGTCATGCATGAATCACAACGCTTCATGTCTCGCGACTCAATCCCACCCTACCAGCCAACTTGATCATCCTCGAGAGGTCGTCGATGTCAATCATGCAGCTCTTCAATTGTCACCATCCAAATAGTTAAGTAGGTTTTTGATAAATTGTTAGGCACGTTTTATTTTCAAATATTTCCATTGAAACACGTTTCCTTGTGAACAAGCAAGAACCGTTTGCAAATCAGACTACTGTTGGCTCAATTTTTACATTATCGTCGCTTACCATAAATGAAAAAAAATGAAGAAATTAGAGTATTTAGAAATAGAAAAATGAAGGAAAATCGGATTAACTAGCCATAATATACTTAGTTAATTTGATTCTTGGTATTTAAGTATTTGATTATGGATTTGAAGGGAAAACTATTCTCACTTTTTGGTTTTCATATGTGTTAAACACAATGAAAATTTAAGAACTGATAAGAAGTTCATACTATATATTCTAATAAACATAGAAAACTTAAAGAGTTGAAATGATTCTACTACCTATTAAAAGAAAAACTAATAAAAATGGCTTGAAAACTTTGAGTTTTAATGATAAGAACAAAATAAAGAGTAAAGTGAATAGTATAAAGATTCACTTTTTAGTGTAAAAATGTGGTTTTTCGTTAAAGTGAACAGTATCGCAAGCTTTTCGTTAAAACTCTCATTAAGAAAACCCTCTCTGTCAACCAAAAGAGGTTAAAAAGAGTATTTAGACTTTTATCACAACAACAAAAAAAATTATAGGTAGTAATTAATGTAATTTCACAAAACCAAATTTTGCTATTTTGTACTTAAACTTCACATACAGGTGATTTTAGCATATACCTAATATTAAAATATAAAACACAAAAACCTCTCTTCCACTCCTTCGTTCTCTCTCTCCCTCACTCCTTCCCATTTAAAAAATAAAAATAAAACAATGTTCACACACACGTGTGTAGCCATATTCACATACACAATGTGTGTAGCCATTTCCTAGTTACAATTAATTAATATGTGTAGCCATATGATAATAGTCCATAAAATTCGAATGTCGCCCGTCTAGACTACATAAGTACATATTCATCAACACAGTTTTTTTTATTCTAGCTTTAAATTGAATAAATCAGGAAAAATTAAAGGACAAATTAAGCAAAGAAGTGTCTAGAATCAAAGGAAAATTAATGAAAATGACTTTAAAACTTTACATTTTAACAAAAATACTATCTAATAACTTTATTTAAAAATAAAGATAAAAAAAACATAAAATATAAACATGTGTGCGCTGTGTGCACGTCCCCCCAAACCCCCCCCCCCCTCTCTTTCTTTTCACCCTCCAATTATAACTAAATAAAAAAAAGTACATGAAAATACACATGCATATTATATTATGTATGAATTAGCTAACTGTAACAATGATAACACCCATATTTAGGCCTTTGACAAAGCAAGATAACACAAACACACATCTGATATTATAATCTCATAAGGTGTATTTTCATGTATATAATAAATAATATATATATATATATATAAGTTATATGTGTAGATTTCACTCGTACCTACTTAAGACAAAAGAAATAATATACATATATAGACAGTGTAGTATCGTTAAATTTCATAAACAGTGTAATAAGTTTCATAAACAGTAAGTGTGAGGACGCGCAGATCCCGTGCGTTAGTTTTTCTTTTCTTTTTTTAAATAATATTAAAATTATGTCTTTTTCATTAAAATTTAAGTTATTTTGTCATTTTTATTAAAATTTAGGAGTTTTTCATTAAAATTTAAGTCTTTTTCATTAATTAAAGTTATAGCATAGTTTTTTGTTAAAATAAACTTAGTCCAAACTATTTTCATGAAAGTTCCCTATTGGCAATAAAATTAGGTCAGAGAATTGAACCAGCTAGCCAACACAAGTTTGGTTGATTGAAACTTTGATGATAATAGTAATAACATGATGTCATTATCTCCTGCAAAAGTGACACAGAAAATGAACTAACAGAGTATACCTGGTATGCGTAGCCTATTGTAGAAGACGTGGTATTTGGATCTTCACAAAACACCTAAGAAGCATATGGGGGTAGCAATGCCAGCATCACAAAAAATAAAGCATATAGCAGATCTAACTACACTAACCCAAACCATGCCCTCATCCAGTGGTAACTTTTATATCTTCAACCAAGTTTAATTTCATATTTCACTTTTGATTAAGTGTATTTAATCAAGAGTGGTCATAAGAAGACGTTGGGTTGGAAATATCAAAGTTTTAATGTATGCACTTGACAACTATATGGAAAACATGTATCGCATAGCCGTCAAGTGCATTATGAGTGGTCATAAGAAGACGTTCGGTTGAAAATCATTTTGACATCTCATGGGGAGATTGAGTTTTAGGCTATGGAGGGTGTGCAGTGAGATGATTGAGCAGGGTTTTGAGCCCTAAAAATTGTTGCATAAGGATCTCATTTCGCAGACATCGCTACCCCTGGCATAAGCACAAGCTTGGTGATACAACAGCTACCCCTGGCAAATCATCTTTGTGATGAAATAAACCACCAACTTCCATAACGAACCAAGTTTGGTGTAATTTCTCAAAACAACCATTCAACCCCAAATTTCTTTGTCATTTTGAAACTCACAAACTAACACAGAAAAAATTTATCTTATAATCTTCTTCAGCCATTGATCAAAAAGTTAAAAAGAAAATCAGATTCTGAGTGAACACCGACGTCGACTCATCGGGTGATACAGTAAACTGCTTTTACGTCGACTCTTTCACGGTCTATATTTCCTAGGTCTATCTAGGAGTAACCCTAACTCTCTCTCGCTAAACAATTAGGGGTTGATTGAGCTTCTAAGGTCAGACCCAACAGCATTACCAGCCTTAGAATTGCTCCTTTCCTTTTGGGTCTATTAACACAACTAATCTATTTCATACAAGCCATACTGAAGGATTGAAATTTTAAACATTACCAAAAACACAAGATTTCAAGTATAATTAGAATGAACACTCGAAACCATTTGAACTATGTTGAGAAAGTCAAGGATAATCATCAAGATACTTGCCAATATTATTAATAAATTGTAATTGATTACATTCCTATCTTGTATTATAAGCTGTCAATTAGTAGCTAGTTAGTAGGAATTGATTGTAAACATATGGCTACATATAGTAGTATTGTATAGAAAATT